GTGGATTCCAAATTTGGCTGGCATAGTCTAAAGTGCTGCGGACAAATGAGCAATACGGTATTTTTATAGTTTTCACCTGTGGAAAATCTTTGGCACAGCAGGTAATAAAACCCAGTTACCTAGAGGCCTTAGTCGCTATACTATCAATATGCGAGTCGTATAGTAATTCATGTAAAGTCTTGTCATGTAAAGCTCCCAGATCTCGTACAGTAGATTAATTTTGTAGTACTACCTTTGAGATAATAATTAATTAAATCATAGAGAATAACGTTTCCGACTCAAAGTTATCAAACAACACTTTGATGGATTAAGATGCAGATCATTAACCTGGCAGTACGCTTCAAGTCTATCCAAATCAGACTGCAAGGCCACCGCTTCGTCTCATGACTTCACATGGGCAAAACATTTTCATGTCATCCGCAAAGCAAATATATTTTTTTCTTTCCATGTAAATACGCTTTCGAACGATGACGTCACGGATCAATGGCAATGTTTTAGATCAAACAGAAAACAATGATGGGAAGATAAACCACGCGTCTAAATTAAGTTTCGCCTAACATAAAACAAATGTCTTCTCACGATTGGATAATCGATTACTTCGATTATATAATAGATTCAGTTCTATAATAAGAACTCATTGTAATGAAGAGCTATGGTTCAATAGTCATATTTATGTCATACACGAAACAATAATAGTAATGAGAATATTAGTTAAAAAATTAATAATAACAGATTTTTTATCATATCAAAGTGACGTAACGTTGTGCGCCTGGTGGTAAGACACGCCTGCAATTACAGTGCCATTTAGAGCTATCTCAAAGAGGATTGCAACTAAATTCCGTCATCCTGAGACATAAGTCGACAGTGCTTGCTTGTAATTTCACCAGCACCCTTCTTACTTTTCAAAACTGGAACGCAATAACGGTCACGTTACCGATTGGCGGCTGAAATGGGAAAGGTGGCAGTACCTTCTTGGATAAACTCTTCCAGAAATGAATTTGGGAAGAAGAATTTATATCTAGAGAATTTTAAAAATAAGCGAGTTGTTTTCGACGTAAAAATGACGTCACCAGATTGAGCAAAATTGACAACGTCTATTGTTCAAGTTTTATTTAAAAGATTACTAAGTGCTGTGTTAACTGTGACCGGAGGTGCTATATGTAAGTACAATACAGAAAGTATGAATTTAATATATCAAATAGATGGAACTGTCATTTTGCTCCATCTCCAAAAAAGCCAGATTATTGTTATTTTTATGACTTTCGTGTGATAAAACATTTTAGAGGTATGATTATATCACATTGTTCCCGCATTAAATCATTAAAATTTATGTATATTATTGTTTATTATATAGTCCACAACTTACAGGAGACCCTTTTGTATTCAAATTTTACAAACCGCTGGATAAAGTGGATCACTCCACCCTACTAAACGGCTTCCGACTAATTAATACCCGACATTGTCCGTTTTAACGACAAACTTGATTATATCAACTGCTCTCTCCTACAGCAGACTTCCATTCTAATTCGTTTAAATTAATTTTCTAAGTTTCCAGCCAGGTCTATACCCCTACCATTGGCTTTTTTTATGATTCAAAAGAATGTTGACCGTCCCTGAGTTATATCTTAAAAACAAAATCGAGTTTGCAAATTTTTTTTTTATTTGATGTCCAAGCATACGCCAGGTCGTTTATGGAGTACTGCATCCACCAACACCATGGTCACCATGGATTCTGCTTTTTTTTTCGTTTTATAACACCAAGTGACGGGACGAACAAGTCGTGCACCTGGTGGTGAGCGACACGGCTATCCATAACAGTTGCAGTGCCACTCAGATCTTTAAATCTTAAGATTTAGTGGCACTGTCACCCTGAGTACCTTGTGCCTGTAATTTCACCAGCACCCTTACCCTTCCAAACCGGAACGCAGTAATGCTCAGATTACTGCTTGGCAGAAATAGGTAAGGTGGCCGTACTCCCTTGAACGAACTCTTTCACAAGAAGCTCTATTGTTTATTCCGTTAATAATTTACAGCACAGTACACACACATTATATGATTCGACCATGATTCGACACATAAAACAATACAATTGTACAGGATTTATTAATAAGTAATACGACTTATTCTAAATAAATAAGGAATAGTGTGTGCGTTGTGCTATTACGGAATCCGTCGTCCACTCAATGTCGTCTCACTGAAAGTGCTACGACGCAGATTTTGAGTGGACTCGGTAACAGCCATACATGCGACACGACACAAAGTAAACGTATTTTACTAAAAATAAAATAAAATAGGTACCATGTCATGCGTGATAAATTACAATGTGATTGAATTGAAATTAATGTGATAAAATAGGAACGTGTATATATTTCACTTGATAAAATTATAAAATAAGGTTTAATTAAGAGGTTTGATTACAATTAAACTGACGACTAATAATAAAAGACTTATAGAAACGCATATTCATGTCCCCGGCACCATCGAACTCTCAATTAAACAGCAAACGTCTTTTGGGAGAACGTAGAATGGTTAGTACCGCTCAAATGCATTGTTAAGTATAAATAATGAATTTTTGGTGATTTTCCTTCGAGTTCTTCGGCAAACACAACATAGTAGGTTATAAAAGTTTAAAAGTCAATTATAACGCTAGCGATTGTAAGGCAGCGAAATCCGGTGATTTTAATCAGTCGGCCAATTGGCTCACTGCTTATGACCTTTCAGTTACCGCAAATATTAATGAAAGAAATAGCAATACACAAAAACATCGAGTATATTATAACCAGAAATAGAGACGAAATGTCATTTAATTTGTTTGAAAACTATTCTAACATATCACTACTGTGACAACTGCGCTCCGATCGCCCAACCCGAATTCGAAACAATTGACGGGTGTCGTCAACGGGAGTCGTCAATTGTTTCACTTTAAATCGGAAAGTCAACCTGAGCTTTGCTATAATGGACGAAAATTACAAAATTACACATTTCGTATTTAATTAGATGTTTTGCTGTTTTTACCCCACACCACCGAATTGAACAGCACGCCATTATTAGAGATAATAATATTATCTTTATTACAATAAATACGGAATATTTTTGGAATATACGGAGACGTATATACTCGATGCCCAAAAATCATCCAAAATATGTCATCTGTCTCATATCTGACATATTTATTGTAACTGAGTAAAGGCAGCCTCTCATGGTCCGTGACGTCCGGTGATTTTACTGACAGTGATAACAACAGACGCGTCTTTATCGTTGTATAGGTCAACGAATAGCTGGAGAGCTAAGTAAAATAGCGCCGATGTGTTCTCTGTAAACTATAATTGGTTAATTAGTAAACAAACCAACATTTCGGGTCCTTTACAGGTCCCATGGTCACGGTTGAGTTAATTGAAAAATATACGCGATTTAAATCCGGAAAAATAGCTTCATTTCCTATGTGTAACATATGCATTTTTTTAAATTATTTTAATTTCGCTAGTAAAAAAATAAATTATGAAATAAAGCCAGTGTCCCTGCCACTCGACCCAAACAATAGAACTGATTTAGTACGAGAAAATGTTGTATTCGGGCTGAGGTAGTACCGACTCTTAATAAACAAAAACTTTCTAGGCTGACAGCACGAATTTGGTAAGTCTGCAGAAGTCAAAAACATTTATTAATACCTCATCTTTATTAATAGAAGAAGCATTTAGCGAATATAAAGGTGTATTTAAACCTTAGTCACATCAAATTTTCTAATACTTATGATTCTTCATATGTATTGGAGAATATTTGGGTCCAAAACTATAGAGAAATTCTGCACATATTACATGTTTGGTTATTTTGTACGTTTGTCATCTGTATTAATAATCAATGTCAACGGGATTATATTTGTTTTTTCTGTTACGAAAATATAAATGAAAACGAACTATTGTATGTTGGTGACAAGTACTAGTCACGTCAAGGTAACCCATTTTGTAAACATACATTCACGGACAACCAAAATCCTAAGGTGGCGGATCTTTACCGATCTCCTCGTTATAGTACAAATAAAATTACGGGCTCCGTGAACTCAATTGATAGTTCCAGTGTCACTTTTCTTTAGATTTTATAAGTAGATAAATGTAATCAGTAATAAATGTGTGTTTGATCTACCTTTCTCTTTAGACGAGATCGTTTATGTTAAGTTTATGTATTGATGTGTGCATTGTGCATGTGTGTATTGATGGTGAAGATCTCTAAGGACGCGTTCCCATTATGTCGTAACGTTTTATTTATTGTTGGATGACTATCTCTCATACCACGACTATTTATCGAGACTGTGTCGTGGACTGTTTTTTACCGTTGAGCGATAGTCATGTCTTGCTTTTCCCACTGGATCGTAAAGCCGCCGCCTAGTCGTTTGCATATATGAGACGACGATAAATAAAACGTGACAACAATAGTAGCTGCGATACCGCGTATTTACCGCGTCGTTTTATTTATAGTCAGTCGGACGGCTGTCGTTCTAGCTCTTCCCATTGTCTTTACAGTCTGTCGACGTAGCGTCAAAAAGACTTATTTTGTGTCGAAACGACAGTTAATCGTGTTGTATTATACCTATGCGAACAACTTCTTTTAAATATACAAGCCACGACATTTTAAACTGTACGATTATCTGTCGTCATGACATATTGAGAACGCGCCCTTACAACTCCTTCATGTTATTTTATCAGACGTGACACACTTTAGACTCTGAGGGATTTAAAGTGTCTTACTCACTGAAGTAAATAAAAATAAAACAAATGGATAGATTCTTTGTTAAAATCTCGCACCAAAGCCAAGTTCGTTGGGGTGGACATTTCAATTCAGCACTGGAATCCAGTATAGTTCTTATTCATAGGGAGTTGTAATTTGGGGAAACTGTTTCTCAATACCTATGAAAGAGGACAAATGGATCCAGGTACTCACAACGTATAGAGCTGGTAGAATAAACAAACTTCAAGTCTAAAGCATCTCTTTAAAAACCTCGACAGGGTCTGCACAAGGATACGAAGGCTCAAAAAGGGCATCATGATAAGGAAAGCCACCAAGGATCGTACGCCGACCGAGGAGGATTTGAAAAGGAACACCACGTTGCATCCGATCATTACGGAGCGCACCATCATGAGGAACATGGGAAAAAACATGCAAAGGTAAAGTTTAATTCTAAATTTTCGACCTAGAAGAGACTTTTTTATTCTAATAATAAACATTTCAGAGTTCTCTTGTTATTACCTCAAAAAATCATGAGTGCCATTTCAGGATGCAAGATCACGCGTGAGAAATCTAATAGGGAGTTCGGTAAAGTGATAGGAAATAAATGAACCGAAGTATTAAAGAAGCTATAAGGCATCGTTAAAACCATTTCATTGTAATGATTGTGGGATTATTATCTACAATAATATGATGATGATGTGTGTGAAACCGAGAGTTTTAGGAGGGGCTTAGACAGTGAATGGTGTCCAGAGCCAAAACGCTGTACTACTGCTTAAAAATCCGATTTTGTGAAATATATTAAACCTATTAGTGGCATTATACGTTATCATTTCATAAACGAACTGTTGGAACAGGACTAGATGTTATTACACAGGATACAACTAAGTCGATGTAAAAGCAAACGATAATTAGAAACAGAAAGCTAAACTGCTAAGTTGAAAATGAGTCAGATGTACAGGCCGCCAGGTGAAGATCGAACCCAGGACTTCATATATAGGAGAATATCATTGCTACTAAGTTTTATTACGGAGTGATCACACTTACTTACGCAGAATTAGCTTGAGCCAATCTTATATTACCATACTTCCGTCATCTGCGTCGTGCAGACGCATTCGGAAATTTGCAGGAAGCCGATATTCGTTGCCAGCCTGTGTCGAGTGGCTACTTCCGAGCCAAAGCGAAACTTACAACGTCTATTTCGCTCTTATTGCATTGATAGAAAGCTTCGACAATTGTACTGACTTGCTTTCAGAACGTTACCAAGTAAACTCGTTAAAGCTATTAAAATTTTGAATTATTATCTTTATACATATATCTAAAAAGTATTTACATAACACGTAAATGTAAATGAATTTGGTTTGTTGCGAGGATTAAATAAGTTTATTTATTTAAGACAACAACCAACAGAAATTCACCCCGAACCGTTAACAAATATTAATATCCTGAGTTCATATTATACTGATCTCTATTCGAATCTACAACCATTGGCTAACCCTTTACCTGTATAGAATTAATTTAACTTTTCCCAACGGTATATAAAGTTAAATGGATTGTGTTCGGGATAATGTGATCGAAATATAATATTTAGAAATTATTCTTTAAATAATGACGGCACTTTGATATTATCGAGACTATTTTAATATGCGAAAACATCACTATTTTACTACAGAAAATATAGATACTTCAGATAGCAGTAAGGGCATTTGTGACAATTGTTGATGCCTATTTTGTTGCAATGTTTATTTTATAATATTTTACTAATACCCTATGTCAATAGTATGAAGAGTCGGGTAAGCATTCGAAAGGGCACTCCACAAAGGGCAGCCACGATATTCATAAGAAGGAAGAATACGAAAAAAAAGTGGAATTTTTCGAAGAGGATGGGGATTCTGCGGAAGAAGAGAAACATGGCGGATATCAAAGCGACCAGGCCCATTCATCGGTAAGCCTACACTGTTTCTTTTATATTTTTAGCTCGGTCCTATAATATTTAAGGAGACTGATGTACTGTGATGACTGTAGCATCACAGTACATTTACTCAAATATTTTTATGCTCGTAAAATATACTTAATTTAATTAAGAAAAAAAATATCCATAATATTAACCTTAGAACTACGTCCAAAGTACAACCACGATGTGGTTTAACTAAGGTAAACGATTATTTTACGGGGAACTGTATACGTTTTTACAATACATTCCGGGTCGTATATCAAGATTATCATTTCCTAAGTTTAAAACTTACATTAAAAGAATTTTAGTTGAGATATATGGAAAGACGACATGACACTAGATTCCACACAAATTTGATTGCAGTAGCTCACGAAATGTAATTTTCATTTTCAAGTGTAAATTTATATTATTAGAGACGCCACGAATAGTGATCCCAAAACATAAATCACTAAAAGCCATTACGCAAAATTTATTTGAGAAATATTGGACATTCAATGATGGAAGTAGTTCTCCACTAAAATAGCAAATGACACGAGTTAAACGTGGTTAAATTCATTATTTAATAAATAAATCGTGAAGCGTCGAAGGTCATTTCTGCGCAACAAGTCGTCAGGCAATACACAAATCGACTTTTGCTACGGTTGAGAAACACCCAAACCAACTCCAGAAGTAATTTGCATGGATTTCACAGATAATCTTTAATTCGGGTGTCAACTGTCAAATTCAGAGCTCATCAGCTTATGAAAAACCAGTTCTTTTTTTATTTTTGGCCTGGCTATTTTTAGAATGTTTGTTTTTAACTGCAGAGCAAATAAGTTCCATTTACTTAAATGGTGATAAGTCAAATTTTGATCTTCATTGTGGAATTATAAAGAACAATTCAACGACCAAATAATCTGTCAGCATTTACATTATTGAATTGCCTCCCTTTGTCTTTGATTCGTTTTCTAATTTGATTCAGCTTTCAATCCAAATTTGATTATTATACGGTTAAGAGGATTGCTTATTCGTATACATGCTTCAACGATCAAATGAAAAACAGCTTCTTTTTATTCCTCTTGTAGTGTAGATGCTTCTTTTATTTTATAAAGTAATATTATCTAATAATTTGTTGCCGCCAGCAGCTTGATTTTGATTGCCTCTCCCGATCGGAAACTTTTGAAATTTCTAATCGCAACAATAATTGATTTAAGTTAGAAAGATATTGTCGGAATCATCTTCTCGCTCAGAAACCCATCTGATTTAGAGACTACCCGATCGGGTCGATCCAATTTGAATCAAAATCAGCACGCTGGATTGTACTATCTGTAGTCGTGAAAAGGTATAGGTACTCATCCAGGTATTTGGGTAAGGGAGGCACACCAGCAAGTGCTGCGTGGAGCCTGTCAGAACATCGTAGTCACATTAGGTTTTACTAGCTTTCTAGGTTTCAGAGTTGCTCCATTACGCATCTGTAGACAAAAACGGCAACAATATTGTTAGAGTTTTGATTTTATTATTATTATACCAAGTGACAGGACGGCACTGCCACTACACCCGTCACTCTGAGACATAATTTGACAAGTCCCATGTACCTGTTTTCGCCAGCACCCAAACCTTTTAAAACCAGAACGCAGTAATGCTTGCATTACTGCTTGGCGGCAGAAATAGGTAGGGTAGCAGTCTCTTAGTAACCACTGATGAATATTAATTACAAAGTCAGGCGCAATTTTTGTTTTATTCCTGTGTTTGTAGATACTAGTTGCTATAGAAGTAACAACTTGTCTAGTAATACAAATATTACTTCATAACTTGCAGGGCGGTCACTTCAAGAATAGCAAGCTGCACGCGGGACATCACGATCGCGCCAAAGGAGACGCCGGTCATTTCGAGAAGGGAGGCCATGTCCACGTTCAAAAGGTAACAATATTCTAAATTCCTATAATTACTTTACTGTACAAAGTTTGATTGATTTCGTGCGATCATCATGATCATGTTAAAGGAATAGTGCTCATTATAGGACTGATTACGATGTGGCATCAGAAAGATTCGATCCAAAAACACAAATCGAATGGATTTTATAATCACTGCCTTGCTTAACTGTTCTAGTGGCAATTCTTTGTTTATTCAAATCAAATTCAAGCAGGTCTATTCTTTTCCGTTTTGTGGTGTCGCTGGGCAGTGATCATAAATATTTTGCACCATATGGAAATATGCACCAAAGATTGCAACAGCAATGTCTCTAATAGCGTAGACTCAACTAAAACAATTAAATAACAAAGTTGATTGGAAACTATGTGAGATCGGGGGTTATACTCCAATGTAATGCTTAGTAAATCATTCATATTTTTGTAAAGTAAACAGACATGGTCAATTAGTTGCATTGCACTGCATGGAATATTCGGCATCGAATCTGCAGGCGCAGACTCAGAAGTCTGAGATGCGGCTTTTAGTCGCAGCGATTATTTATAGATAAATGTCGTTGCTTTGTTCTATTCTAGCACAACCTAGTGACTGTAGATATATGGTGATAGTAAAGGATTAAACGATATATTTTTGCATGTTTTGTTCACAGGGACACAAATCAGCCGTTGGTCATGACAGTCACGGTGCGCATGGAAAAGCCAAATTTCAGAAAGGCGGTACTTCTGGAGGCAAGAAGTGGGTATACCACCACGGTACCCCTGCGAAAACTGCAAACCTCGTTGCCATCGATCGAAAAGCAGACCACTTTTATCACGGACCACAATATTTCGGATAAAATAGCATAAGATATTTAGGATTTTCGGTCTCACAGCCAATCCTACGGATCTTTAATTTTACAATTCTATTCTTCGCTTCTTACTTTCTGCTATGTTGAATAAAATAGTATAGATTATGTTGCATTTGCATGAATATTTTTATTTTGTCTGACGTCATGTAGTTCAATGTAATCATCAATAACTTATTTAGATGTTTTCCTTGCTGAATGATAAAATTTCAGCTGTATGTATTATCTACACTGCCTCTTAAAATAAGCAAAACAATAGGATTGGCTGCGATAAGGAAATTATTAGGGATGATTCTTGATACCTGTCGTAATGATTAAGCAGAAGACTTATTGGAAAATTTCATTTGACAAGCTAAACTTTCACATTTAAAGTGATGACGGCGTAAAAATTACAATATCAAAGTCAAAGTTTTGTCTTGTAATTTTGGAAATAAAATCCTTATGGAATCAAAGAAGTCGGTAAATTCTTAGTGCAAAATTATATCTAAAACATTATTTTAACTTGAAATTTAAAACTGTTTTAAGATAATTGAGAAAAACATTATTAGATCTTTTAACAAAGTCGATGTCATACGATGGCGAGTATCAAAACATAGTCATCCCATTGTTGTGTGATTGTGTTACGTAAAGGAAGCTGTTGTACAGACCTTTTATTAGAGGTGAAGTTGTGAATTAAAGAGAAAGTATGTATATTATATGTTATCCATATTAAATCTGTAATTAGGGACACTAAATCGGATTTATTGCTTATTATGTATATATTTAGAGATGATTCCGAAGACAGCCAATTGTATAAACCGCAGAAAGCAATCGTCAGAATTTCTTAAACTGTTAAACAAATGAGATTGATGAATGGTTTCATAAAAAATACTTACGTACATGTATGTATATCGTTCGATTTCGACGTTCTCGATTTGAGCTGGCGCCCTCGTATTCTTCATCTTTATTATTCTTCTTTTTCATTTGATCTTCTTTTCCTTTATTTCTTTATGATCTATTACTTGAGCTAACAATGTCTTTCATAGTTGTCCTCTTCCAATGTTGGCTTCTATCATCTTTTATCTCTTTCGCCGCTCTATTTTCAATGGTTTTCTAATAATCATAAAAATCAAATGGTATTCAAAAAATGGTGAATACGCGACATGCAGTGATACTCAGAGCTTTACATCGCAAAGGAAGAACGATGCCATTGCATCCGACACGATGACATATAAAGATGATCAGGGGGCTCTCATTCACCGTCCAACATAAGTCCGAAACAATTACTGTCAGATAAGAAACATTCGACCAAATCAAACAACAATGTTTAAGTATGAAGCTTCAGTCGTATCATGCTTCTTATAATTTGGTCGAGTCATACTCGAGTATGGCTCGACCAAATTATACACCAGCACTCTTGCTCTTTAAAAGTGGAACCCAGTAACACTCATTGGTGACAGAAATGTGTGTGGTTATAGTCAAGTACACTTACAATTTTTATCGTGTTTCTTTTTTAATTTTCACGTGAAACCTAGAGACTATGTAATCAGTAACTATAATTTTCGTAATCGAGTATGTATAACCACGTTCAGAACTTAAAATATGCAGTAGGTACAAACCCTAGGCTACTTTTATATGCATTTAATGTCCCTAATTTTTTAATTTACTTTTCATTTGTTATGAAAATATTTTTAGTTTATAATAATACGTTGGAATCTAATGTATTTGGATGCATTTGACAATTAGTGGTTGTGAAATGTATACAACTTATTAAATATTTTTTTCATATGGGGATTTGGAACTTAGGTATTGCAGGCTGGAATATATAAAAAGACCTTTGATTTGGACTAAGCAAAAATGGAAAACTATGCAAGTTTTTCAAATTTACAAAAGAACTTTACCTAAGCTTAAGCATGCCCTAATAAGTCAAGAGGATTGCTAAACACGATACAAGACGGCGTAATCGGGTATTTAGTACCTATTGGTACACTAGGATCCCGATTCAGAACTCATCGATATCTTAACCGAATCTTTCGATTGGATATCGTTCTCGAATCGAAGGGCGCTTTCCGAGCTATTTAGAACATTCGAGTTAAAACGTTCGGATTGGGATACGATATCGTTATTCGACAATGTTTATGGACTTAATCGGCGAATATAGATTATAAGAAAAATGAAATCCTTTTATATACATTTTTAAGACTTTAAAGGTCTAAAATATATAGGAATGCATTAGTCTGGCTTTGAAATAAATTAATAAAATTGAACAAAATCCAGACTTTATTTAAAATAATAAAGGATTTTCATGTTACATTCTTGCTTTGTAAACAATATGATGTTCGGTAATTTTCATTCGATAGCTGTGTTCTGAATAACGTTTGTAGCCTTTCGTCGTATCGTACGGATGTGACGTCTTTTCGGTTCGGTTTCGAATACGACAGTTTGATGTTCGTTTCGGGTATTGTGAATAAAAATGAAAAGAAATGAGTTATCGTAAGGTGCAATCGACCTGCAGATGTCACGACAAATACCAAATAGCTATTTTTGTAACTAATTTCTTTTACATTGACAAGCTGCAATTTGCCAATGCTACTCCACTTACTAACAAACAAATCTACTAGATGGCGCTTATTGCACAGATTTTTATAGATAGTGCCGGCTGATCTTTTATTTTGTTTAGAATTAGCGCCATCTACCCTTATTAGGGAGCGTTATTTATAAATTAGTTTGTAGCCTACAATGCCATCTATTGACATGCAATTTTGTCAAAGTCAGAAATAAATTTGGCTCATGATCAATATTTGAATGAAAAAAACTGACTTATATTTCATATTAAGGAGGAATTGATTGATATCCACGGCCATTCGCACAACATAAACTACTTACAGTCTATTGATCAGCGCCATCTAGGTGTAAGATGGAATTTTGACCATTTCAGAGTTACGATCTCTAGTAAGGAGATTACCCGTGCTATCGAGTTATTGATCCATGGTTTAAGCAAGAAATTACCAAGTAATTGTCTAGTAACAGTATTTATTTTATTTATTTATTTATTTAACACACATATCAATGACATTACTAAAGCATACAGTATTGTAAAAACCATAGCTGGTTTGACTCAATACTGGTGAGCTCGTATTCTATCCTTACGCTTAATATTTATTTCACACACTTAATTCTAGCATACATATACCTAATTAGACCATATTGACATATAATACATGTGGGTATTTCATGAAAAAATTAAACTATTTAGTACATCCGAACACAATAAAAATTCGTACGGTCATTAAGCATCGAGCCGTGCATTCCACGCTCGCGAAACCGGTCGATCACCATATACTTTACACGGGCCATTCCCATTTCGCCTTTTCAAATTACGAGAGCTCCTGTGAACGAGTTCGTCCAGGGAAGCACTGACTCCTTACCAATTTCCGCCGTGTAAACGTAGGCAAAGTTCATATAATGTAAATACGAAAACATTGCTCAGCTCACCATCTTTGCTTACTTGAACTCAAAGTTCATTTTGTGAGTCTTAGGTGACTATACACACGGCGTATTTTTTACGCGATGACGTATGTGGAAGAGGGTAAAAACCCAATTGTGTTTATTGTTTATTTAACTGCCTCTCTGGCCTAAAAGTTACCTTGCCGGTCTGCCACGGAGGGGTCCCGGGTTCGGTTAGGTGTCTACTCTCATTCTCTGTCCGACATTACGTCCGAAACAATAACTGTCAAATAAGTAATAAGACAATGTCAAGTGTGAAGCTTCTTTCGCATCATGCCTCCTTTAATTTTGTCGGTTATTACTTATTTCACAGTAATTGAGACAGACAGAGAATTAGAGTACAGGGCCTTCCTAGGAGTTGTAGTTTCTATGTGTATTAATACTGTATATTAATATTTCTAAGACAAAAATAACGGTTGAGCATCGGACTTTAGTACATGTAATAGACAATAAAGGAAACAAAGACAATATAATAAAAACAGTTCAAAAAGAGTGGTGCTGTCGCACACACGGAGCAAAGCAAAAAACATCTAACTTAACAAAAAGCGACGTCTTGGTGACACTTAAATGCAACATGTATTGGCACTCAAGATACTAGTATACTACATTTCACTGGTTAAGTTATTCTATACATAAAATTGAGCACAACATTTAGTGACTTACTAATAAAATGTGGAAAGTTTTAGGCAAGCCGGTGGGAAACGTGTTATGTAGACGCCTCGCCACTGAAAGCTGCTTAAAAATAGTAAGATAAAACGCTTGTTCGAAGCTTTTTTATCGTGTTTAACGCGTCACTGGATCGAATCATGGAAAGAGAAACGTTACACGTCATAACAGTTAAAAATACAACCGTGTGCATAGACTCTAGTGGTTAAAAGAACCAAATAGTTCTTTGTAATTTATTTCTATCAGTTGCGTAAGATAATAAGAAACAGAACTCCAAGTGTGATAATTTTCTTAAAAACCACTGCTAATTGTAATTCCATTGGGATTGCGGCGATTGCAATAGGACGTTCTATAACTTTCATTCGATAACTGTGTTCTAAATAAAGTTTGTTGCTTTTGCTGGTCAAGAAATTCGAGTAATCACACGGGTCATTTCGAGTCGGTTTCAAATACGACAGTTTAACGTTCAATTCGGGTGTTGTAAAAAATTAATGGAAATCGGCCGACAACTGAGTTATCTTAAGGTTCTAAATCGATCCCCAGGTTGGTGGCGTTGATATTTTACCGGAAGGCTTTGTTTTTAATAAATCTGTCTAACTTTATAAGGTGTTGCCATTTAAGCCACCGTTTCTACTAACGATCGGAAGTTCGACAGACTTTGGAAGAAATAGTTTTTATACGGTAACATTAAACCTTTCGATATACCACGGCTCTGTATTTATCTCACGCAATTGTAACATTTATTTTACATGTTAAGTTGTGCAAATCATATCTTTTTTATTTTATATAATGCGAATCACGATTATTTTTTAAGCGGTATTCCTTTCTTCACGGCTTGTATTTCAGCTTAGATTATTTTAATAAAATATTAATTAAAAAATAAGACGTTTCTAAATTCTTTTGTAAATATTGTTGTCTTTTTTGTATTGTAAATATTCAGAATAATATTTGTAGACTTTTGTAAATATGCGCTATTTTTGTCAATTTAAGTTCATTGTACGCCTTTTTTAATAAAAAATGTGTTATTTGAATTATTGTTTCTCATTTATTCAATATTTGGTATGAGTCGGACTAAAGGATGAGCGCAAATCCATACTTGAATGTTTCTATACTTTTATGCATATATTTAGTTAGCCAAAAGCTTTTTTATAATATCAAATGATGGAACGGACAAGTCGTATGCGTGATGGTAAGATACACGCCTGTTCACAACAGTTGCAGTG